TCTGAGAATGTTTACAGAGAAGTGTTGTTCCCTGCAAAAAAGAATTTGAACAGATCAGCAGATTAGCATTATAAGGTGTTCATGAGAGATTATCTGGCTTAAAACCTTCAATTCCTAGGTGCTGAAACTGAGTTTATGTAAGGGGAATAGGTTTTGCTAGAGTTGTTAAGCTTGTAGTTGTAAATCTAGAATCCGAACGCCAAGCTATCGTCCACATCAATGTGACTACTTTTATTATTTGCTCATATTTTCAAATAACAACCTACAGATGAATATGACCTCCAACGTAGGAATGAGCTCGTTTGCTCAAATTTACCAAGTGGAAGTTAAAATACGTTAATGATACATGATGGTAGTTTTCCTAGCACCATCTCAAACACTGTTAGTACTTGGATTCAACAACTCTGGGAGTGTCTGACTGCCTTTTAATGGGGGTTAATGAGAGCATAATGAAGACAAATGACTGGCCATAGCTCATTGGGCCTCCTAACGCTCAAGGCAATGTCTTGTCCTGTGAACCAAGTTACTTCTCAGGTAAATATAGTTTAGCCTTGTATGTCCAGCTTCATGGGACCAAGCACAGTTCAGATCATGGCCATCTGAGTACCCTGGGACCATATTACAGGGTATGTTTTTCCTATATAGATATAGATGAATAGTCACTGCAGAGGTTCAATGAGGCCAGAATTGGCTGCGGAGACTCAAGGTTATTGTGGATAAGGACCCTTTTCAGATAAAAGAAAAGTTATTGTATTTTTATTGCTTCACATAATAAGCCAGTGATTCAAATAAAACATGGCTGGTTAAATATTGTTTTGCTTGGTATACTTGAATCAGTTTATAAGAATCAAAGAAAGTCCAGGTGGTTGTGTTTCTGTGGAGCTTTTACATCAAGCTAAGATACTCATGTATGGATGTTTACATGTTATAGGGCAAGAATATTTTATATGTAAGTGTTTTATATAGTATTTACTATTTTGTTCAGACCCATTGGAACTTTTACACTAAAATAAGCTCCTGCCACTACTTTGAATAGTCATCAAGGGTTACCTCTATTACTAGGTGGCTTTTGTATACCTTCTGGCTTGACCTGTCTTCAAAGACAATTAATTATCTATATAGTTTTTTTACATTATAGTCAACTTTAATTTTATTTCTTGTAAGTTGAAGTGTTTTCTTCATTTCTTAAACATATCTTCATATTTTTTGTCTATATTCAAGCCACATCTACATAAGACTCAAGAATTGTCATCATTGATGAATTAATGGAGTGGGCATCAAGTTCCATAGCTAGTTCCTCAATCATAGTCCTGAAAATCTTTTGTAAGATGACAGTGTTGCTGGCATTAGAGTATGAATGTCTACAGTCATTTTTAGCCCTGTTGGGATCATGGGTCCCTATGAAAATATGATGGAATCTATCCTCTCCCAGAAAAATGAATAGATGAATGAATATGTACACACATTTTATACATCACTTCAAAAGAATTTTTGAACTACTAGAGTATGTTCAGAGGTCCCTTAGGAATAAGAACTTTTGTTCTAAGAGGATATTTTTTAAAGAAATCATATATGTTTTGATTTATAGTTTAGATATGCTTATTAAAAATGTAATAGTTTCATTTATCATCACAGCTTAATTCTATGCATGTACTGTACTATTCTGTGTGGATGTGTATACTTGACTGCATTAACAATAACTTATTTTTTTACCCTGGCTGGCTAGTTCAATTGGTTAGAGCATCATCCCGATACTCCAAAATTTCAGGTTCAATCCCAAGTCAGGGCACATAAAAGAATCAACTGAAAAATTCATAAATAAGTACAACAAAGTATCATCTCTTTCTCTCTTTCCCTCTCTCTCTCTCTCAAATTAATAAATCTTTTAAAAACCCTAATTTTTGGAATATCTGTTTTATGTTTTTCTTGTTTTAATCTATTTCAAATGTTCTTTTTAAAATTTTTCCAACTTTCTAAATGAGAAGATATTTTAAATTTATGAAAGTATTATTTATTCTTGTTAATCTTGAAAGATAATCTAGCTTTAGAACTTTAGCTTGACTATTGGATTTAATATTTGCATGTGAGAAACATTCTCTAGTAGGACATTGACCTTAAAGACTTTGAAAGTCAGAATCTACATATAAATTTAATTCCAGTTCTCTGCTATTAAAATAACATTGACTGAATCTCAGAATTAGGTGATAACTCTACATTTTTTAACACTACCACATAACATTTAGAATTAAATGAAATGTGAATCCAAGATGCTGCAAGAATTTGGTATATCCAACTACATTTTTCATGCTCATTTATTGAACATATATAGAAATAATAAGCTCCTTTAGTGACTATATATTGGATATATTTTCTTTACTTGTCATTATAAATAATAATTTTGTATACATGCACAGTGCAGTATTACTTCATACTGAATTATACAATTTTCTATAAACAAGTAAAACTAAAACACTCTTAAAACTAAAATTTGGCCTGATCCATACAGTAACATTTTCAATCATTGTTTATTTTCAGTATTAATGTGGAAAAAAGTATTCAAAGGATAGATTCAAAATTAAAAAGCCATATTTTAATGGGAGCTGGTTTAAAACAATTTGACATGAATGCAGTAACAGTTTGGAAAATGCGTCTATGCTTAGTTTTGCATCCAAAATTGGACTTTGAAACTTATTGTCAGTCTCAGAAAGAAATAAGCTGTGCAGATAATTAAACATTTGCCTTGGGGGAATTATTTGAAGTTAATTAAAACCATACGCTTTAGGTGCATACTTTCTTCACTGGTTATTAAATTTGAATCATGTGTTAACTACCCAGGTTTTTCATTTGTCCATCAAATGTTGTTTGTAGTATGTTCGAGAAACAAATTTTCTCAAATATTCCAAACTATGTTGTTCAAAGCTATCTCCTAATTTTGGGAGAGAAAAAGAAGAGAGGGAAAGGACAATAAAGAATGATTTATTTTAGATTCCACCTAAATTTACTCTGTTAGGGAATTAAAATAGAGCTGAGCAATATGAACTCAGCAGAGAACTCATTTGTAAGTCATAGAGGGTCCCTGTTTGGGCACCATCTGTCGTTGGGAGCACCGGCGGGGGGGGGGGCATTCCTAGATCTGAGGGTTACTGTCTGAAGCCAGCTGAGGAGGGAGTGGGGCTCTGAATCCCTCAGAGCCCGTCCTGGGGTTGTCATGGATGGGGGAATAAACACAAGTCATTACAAACACTCCTCTGTTTGCCAGGAGAAGGTACATGGCTCTTCCCTCTAGTGGAGAAGGCCCCAAGCCCCCATGTCCAAAGGATTTTATTGAGAACCATATGCACAGGGGTATGGATGCAGAGCTCATCAATCAATGTCAAAATGTTTACATTTTTTTACAGAAAACAGATAGAGATCATAGATAACAACTGAAGGAACACAAGAGATCTGCCTCAGGTCAGGGTCTATGAATATGTAAATCTCCTTCCCAGTATGAGCCAGTTATCATAGCTTTGAGGGAAGAACAAAGCATGCTTCAAAGAACTTACTTCTAGGCCTGATTTACCCCGGGAACCACCTCATCCAGTTTAGGATTGCACCTGCCTTTAGTATTGTTTCAAGCCTGAGCCAGTCAGGTGGGGCAGAACCACGAAGAGATAAGGAGACTTCTTTCAGATAGAATGAGCACCCCAGCCATGTCCAAGCGAAGCCTAGGAGTGCAGGCCTTTTTGCCCTTTCTCTGTGTCCTCCAAATCCTTGTCTGCTGCCCATACTGGCTGATATCTGTCTAAGGTCATCTCTCCTCTTGAGGAATCTTACCTGTCATTGACTACCAACCATCACAGGGTCAAGCATGGTAATGTGAGGGAGGCAGGGGCTGCACCCCTGCCAAGGGGACAGGTTTCGTCTCCTCAGTGGCCTGTTTTCCCAAAGCCTCCTTGATTACTTCCAGCCCTGGGGCCCTCTCGCCTGTCGGCAGAGCTACAGTTCCTGAAACCAGACAAGGCATTTCCCAACAGTAGAGGTGCTGTTCTATCATCCCCAGTCTTCTTCATGGGCACGCCCATATAAAAGTAGATCATGGTTTCCTGTATCTTTGGATTACCGTCCTTTCAGCTGCATGAAAAATGTCTTCTAGATTGAAACCTCTATGAAGGCAGAAATTTGTTTTTTGTTTTTTGTTTTCACTATAGACTCCCAAGAGTCAAGAACTGGGCCTGGATAGAGTGGTCCTTAATAAATATTAGTATAATAAATGAAAGAATTCCTCTTTATACCTTCTTGCTGACCAATTCACATTCTCTTTATGATGGATTTTTAGGAAGCGTCCAGAGAGGCCTCAAATAACTAACGGGGGCTCTCTTCTAGCTTTGCAAGAGTACACAGTCATAGGAAATATTTTAGCCACTGTTAAGTATGTCATATCAACTTATGCTGATCCTATGCTTAAAAGTGCTATACAAGAGTGAAGGTGAAATTGCACAGAACAAAGGGTTTGCACCCCCCACCCTTTGCTATTGTTCTACTGGTAGAACGCCTAAGAAAGATGAACTTAATTACTATTGGACTTCAAATGTCTACATCTGGCTTTTTCAAGAACTCCAGACTCTCCTGTATGAACAACTACAGTAATGGAAGCATCAATAACATTAAAATTAGATATTCCTTTAATCTTCTCTATTTCATCTTCCTTTCATGTTCTTTTGCACAATTCTCCTAAAACTTTCACTGATACATAAAGCTTGCTTATATTTCTCCTTTGTTGCAAAAAAATGACCCAACCAACTCTTCTGTCTTTATCTTGTAAACTTTGTATTAATATTTCATATAGTACTTACAGGAAAGTATTGGTGAAAATATTTAAGTAATTTAATGGTATTTAAAAAAATAAAGAATTCTATCCCCAAACATAAATCATGTTAGTGCTGGAAGCTACTCTATTTCCTGGTTGAAAATGCTGAATAGATGTTTTACTTGTTTTTTTGTATGTGTGTGTGTGTCAGAATCTGCAAAAGATGACAATATTACAAAAGACAGTGAAGTAACAGATCATTCTGTGTGTGACGAAGACAATCCCAATGGTAAGTAATGAGGTCTTTTTTCAGTGCTTTTCTGCTTAAGAATATTACATTTTTTTAAAAGTCAGATTTTAGTTTTTCTGGATAAAATGGAATCTGGCTATATTTTATTAGAGCTGAATACCAGGTGATTAGTAGTAGTCACATTTAGAAGAAGCATTTGCTCTCCTCAGTCCTCACCACCCATTATATTTGTACTAGGCTGGCTTTATTGATTTTTGTTACCTGACTGAATTCTATAAGCATTGGGTTTACAACTACTAAAATGAAGATATAATAACAACAAGAAAATATGAAACATATAGAAAATATAACCAGGAGATTAAATCTACATACTCTTGTAATACCAGGAAGAGAGAATAGAACAAACAGAAATGAAAAATTACAGAAAAAAAAATTTCTTATTGCAAACTAGTTCCTTCATCCAAAACAGAAAATATTTATACACATTATATTCATAGGGAAAGATAATGAAAACACAACAGAGACCAGAAATCTACAAAGGCTCATGGAATTTCTGAAGGTCAATGATAAAGACTTTTAAAGCAAATAGAAAAGTCAAATATAGGTTACAAGTGAAATTACCAAAATCAGGTAACCCATAGCCTTCTTTTCCACAGCTCTAAATACTGGAAGAAAATGGAGTAACATTTCCAGAGCGCTAAAGGACAGTTTCTAGTTTCTACTTTTAGTGAAGTTATTATTCATGCATGAAATCAAGAGTAATATTTTCTCAGGAATACAAAGATTAAGGAAATATATGACCCACATATTCATTCTGAATAAACTAACAGAAGGCCTGTGCAAAAACAATAAATATAAAAAGGAAAGAAAAATTCAAGACTGAGAAAGCAGAGTTAGGTAGGACTATATCATAAGAGACTCATTAAATGCACAAAAATGTTGAAATAATTGTTTTTGAATTAGAATCAAAATATCTTAAATGTTTGCTTTTACTTTTGAAAATTATAGTATATTTTTAATGATAAAGGAGGAGATACTTTTTCTATCAGTAATGAAATTTTAAATAAATTAGGCCATTACTTCATTACTTTCCATGAAGACAATTAGACAACCTAGAAAGAGCAGGAATCTATTTAAAGACATTAAGGAACTAATAAGATACAGTATTGTCAGGCTAGCTTATGGCAGAAAATGAATATTCAGAGATGTGAAGTCAGAACTTGAAACTGTTTTTACCTTAGGAAATTTTCTTACTCTTCAAAAAAATCTTGAGTCCCATTGCTCAAAAGTGTCAGGAGCTCTGGTAAACCCCCTGTTTCTTGGTTTAAAACCTCAAAGATATGATGGAGGACCAAAAAAACAGAATTTATTTTAAAAAATTGTATATCTATTCTTACATGTTTAAATTTCAATCACCTTCAAAGTACTCTCCATTGGATACAATACACCTATCGAGATGTTTTTTTCTACTGCCCAAAACAGTTTTGAACTTGTCGATTTTGATGCCTTTTAGTTCTTCTTCTGTGTTTTTTCCTCCTCTTCCACATTGGCAAAATGTTTCTCTTTGAGGACTGTTTTTCACCTGGGGAAACAAAGAAAAAGTCACTTGCGGTGAGATAGGGTGAATAGGAAGGGTGGGGCACAAGGGTCCATCTGCTTTTGGTCAAAAACTGCTGAACACTCACTGAGGTGTGTACTTGTAAATTGCTCATTGTGAAATGGGCAAATGTATTGAAGAAGTCTTAAAAAAAAATCACTGAAACCTAACACAGCCTCTCACAATAACACTAGCAGGTACACAAATACAGATGGTTTCCTAGAACATTCACCTAGCCTAGCAGGGGAAGCCTGTACTAGATGGAGCCCTCCAGAAGATAATTCCAGTTTTTTTAAAGACTGCTCACCAACTTTAAATTGTCTCAATCACCAAATTTAATTAAAACCAACCCAGATTGCTAGTCTTTCCAGGCACCTAAAAGAATATGCAAAGTATTTATTAGATTAAAAAAAGGTGTTAAGTTTCAAACCATTTACATAAACAATTTGTTAAATATAATGTTCAGCACACACATGCAAAAATAGTGAGAATAAATGAGAAAACAAGGTAACATGAAAACCAAACAAAGACTCAAGAGTGGTAAGCCAACTGGGCTGAAAATATTAGTCATAAACACAAGCTATAGAACACAAGAGCTATGTACAATATAAGGATGTGAAGACAAGATTGAAAAATTTAGCCAAGAATTAAAAGTTCAAAGTACAAATAAGGGAAAAAAATGTCTAAAAGTAAAAGATGCCACAACTAAAACAAAGAATTCAATGAATGAATTTATAGTTTAACAGCATATTAGACTCAGATGAAAGAAAATCTGTGAACTTGAAGTTGTGTCAAGAATAAATCTGAAATAAAAATAGAGAAACACTGGATGTCAAACACTAAACAAAGTAAGAAGACATGGAGGATAAAATGACAGTCTGTCAAAGAAGCAATATTTGAAGAAATTATAGCGAGAAATTTCCTACGGTGTTTAAGGACATCAAGCCATGTGTTTCAGAACTCCTTTGAACTCTAAGCAAAATAAATCCACAGCTAGGCCCATCATACTAAAACTGCTGAAAATTAAAGATAAATAGAACATCCAACAATCTTTAAACAATTGGACTAACAGTTGACTTTTCAATACATATGATGGAAATAAAAAGACAATACAAGAGAATATCTGCCCACCAAAATTCTAAACTCAGGAAAAATGTATATTTCAAGAATAAAGGTTAATTAAGGATATTTCAGACCAATAAAAGTTTATCACTGTAGATTCTGGTGTTCTTAAAGTAAGACAATACTGACTCCAGTTAGAAAGTCAAAGATGAAGGAAGGAATTAAGAGCAAGGTAAATTATAATTATTGAATAAGTCTAAATGAATATTAATGACATAAATCAATAATGATGATTATAATAGTAGTAATGTATTATGAGGGTTAAGATATACTTAACCTGTGATTGAAAAATAAAAATTAACCAAAGATATACTTAGAATTAAAATATACTACAATAATAGCATTTATTGGGAAGAGGTAAATTAAGTGTGCTTATGTTTTCTCTTGTCATGGAAAATAAAAACACCAATTAACATTTAAATTTTATACCTCTGTGATACCTAAGTCAGGAATGAGGTGAGTCCTCTGATGTCCTAGATGAATGCTTGTAGAGAATTCCCAGCCCAAAGTGCAGGGAGAGTGAACTAAGGCAGAGCTCAACAGACTCCCTGAGTTGAGGAGAGGGAGTTGAGACTCCTGGAAGGCCAGGGTATCTAATATTTTCAAGGTATAGTACTAGTGAAAGAGCTCCATAAAGAGAACTCTTTAGAGATATACAAAGGGAACTCCTTAAATCTTCAGCTGAGTACTGATCAGTGCGCGCCTGAGAGGAAATTACCAGTGAATGCTTGAGAGTCTGAATAAAGAACACTAAAGGATTTGAGGGAATGGTATCTGAAGCTTCCACAGGGCTGGGTGGAATGTCTCTTCCCATAAGCCAGACTGGAAAACCTAAAAATTCTTAGGGGGTTTATAACGATTTTGCCTCAGTAACGGACCAGAATTTGCAATATACAAATTGCTGTTATTGCCCTCTCTAATTCATCTTGAAAACAAGATTTGAAAAGGTCAAACTGTTTCTGAATAACTTAACTGATACAAGAATGAAGATCAATATTTTTATAGACTATAAATAGATTTCATGCCTATCAGCTTAATCAACAAAATTTGGGGGCATTAAAAGAAGTATTGCAAGACAAATCTGCATGCTTCTCTTGTGTTTCTGCATATTTCACAGGCAGAAGGCCTGATTGTCTTTGCTTTAACTCATCTTTTTAAGGATGTTTGAATAGTGAGCAGTCTTGGAAGACAGAGAAACTGTCTTGGAAGATAAAAATAGTTCTCCTCCCCTAAGAGATAGACATGCTCACTGTCCATTATAAAATATTCAAGTTCTCTAAGATAAAGGTTTTCACATATAGTACAACCCACTGAGTGTACAGGTATTTCTTTGACACCTAAGGGGAAATGAGACTCATGGAACAAGTACAAGAGTCTGGCTATTGTTATTGCTCTGAATAGTAAACTGTTCTTTATTCCTGGGCTAGAAGTCTCTCCTATGTCATCAGCCATGGAATTGTGACTAGCTAACTTATCAATTTGCAAATGGGGTAACATCTGAGATGTTTTCCAATTCTTGAAAAGAAGTAAGAAAAAGGCAAATAGAATAAATCAATTGATAGAAATCAATACAAAAATAGCTCAGAGTAATAATATGAAAGATCATGTTAAAAATTATTATTATTGTATTCTACAGCTTCCAGAAGCTAAAAGGATTGTCCATGTTCATTAGAGACATGCTGGAAATAAAATAGACACAAGTTGAATTTCTAGAGATAAAAAACAGTGGCTGAGAGGAAACTCATACTTGAAAAGAATAATGGCAGATTAGACACTGCAAAAGAAAAGGTTAGTGAATTTGAAGCTGTATCAATAGAAACTATTCAGATCGACACAAAGAGAATAAATGACTGAGGAAAACAAAAAGGCCAATGGAGAGATATGTAACAACTCCAAAGGTAATTCCAATTCCAAAATCATATATTGAAATCTCTGAAGGCAGGCAAGGAGGGAGACAGAAAAAAAAAAAAAGGAGTAATAATGGCAGAAATTTCATGAAAACAATGAACCCACATATCCAAGAAGTTCTATGACCCTAAAACACAAAAAACAAAATTATATCTAAGTACATCATAATCAACTTGCTCAACATCAGTGATAAAGAGAAAAATCTCAAAAACAACCTCAAAAGGAAAAGACAAGTTACATAAAGAAGAACAAATAAAACAGGCAAAAACATAGATGATTCTCACAAATATAATATTAAACTAAAGAAGGCACAAAAGCATATATGTTGTACAATTCATTTATGTCAACTTTTAGAAGCAGAAAAAATAAGTATAACACTTGGAAAGTTGTGCTTAGATGATAAAATCTAGAT